TTCTTCTATGGTATTTCATGTTTTATAGCAGCTTGTGATTCTACCTGTGTACATAACCGTTATACATGCTTGAAGCAGTCTAGCTAAATAAGTTTTGCTATAGTTTGTAGAACTGGATGATGAGGAGACATGTCACTCTACTCAGATACAGAAGAGTTTGGGGTGACAACCATATTAAGTTATTATCAAATCATTGAGACTTGCACAAATTGCTTTGTTAAATTATGCCAGCCATAGCTGTTCATATGCTTCTGGTGACCAAAGAAAATGAATTGATACACCAGTGGTTTATGTGGCTTGTTTTAATTCCTTAGGTGCAGCTATCTTCTTTGAATTCAAACACTACAATCCTAAAACATGGTTTACCAGCAAAAAGTGTTTGGCTTTCATGGAGATGGATGAAATTAAACCTGGGCCAATTGTAAAAGAACTGTAAGTTGGCCGGGCGCGGTGGCTCAAGCCTGTAATCCTAGCACTTTGGGAGGCCGAGGCGGGTGGATCACGAGGTCAAGAGATCGAGACCATCCTGGTCAATATGGTGAAACCCCGTCTCTACTAAAAATACAAAAAACTAGCTGGGCATGGTGGCACATGCCTGTAATCCCAGCTACTCAGGAGGCTGAGGCAGGAGAATTGCCTGAACCCAGGAGGCGGAGGTTGCGGTGAGCCGAGATCGCGCCATTGCACTCCAGCCTGGGTAACAAGAGCGAAACTCCGTCTCAGAAAAAAAAAAAAAAAAAAAAAAAAAAAAAAAAAAGAACTGTAAGTGATGTCCATATAGAATTAGTACTAATTTGATGGTGACTAGTTTATCTTTCTTCTTAATCCCCCATATCCAGTATTTAACCCTGGAATAATTTAGTATTTTAAACAATGGCCTTTCTGTTGTAATTACAGATACAAGAAACCCACTGACTTTAAAAGAAAGAAATTGCAATTATTGACCAAAAAACCACTTTATCTTCATCTACATCAAACTTTGCACAAGGAATTATCCTGACATGATGAACCTGGAACTTCTGTGAATTATCACTCACTAGAAACCATCATACCTCTGTGTAGCATATTCACCCTTCAACAGGCAGGAAGCAAGCCGCACCCAGACCAGTAGGCCAGAGGGAGTCCTTTGCAAACCTGTACCACAGAATCAAAGTCCAGCACATCACTGATGTGTAAGACTCCTTTGGATACAGGTCTATTGTAGATTTTGAAACATGTTTTTACTTTTCTATTAATTGTGCAATTAATAGCCTATTTTCTAATTTACCACTACTCCCACCCTGCTTCCTGGAACAATACTGTTGTGGGATGTGCTCACCTTCAGACTTAATACAGCAATAAGAATGTGCTAGAGTTTACACCTGTTCACTTTTGCTCCAATATGCTCTTTTGATTTAACTTGAAGCTTTGGTTTGATGTGGGTAAGAGTGTCATACTGCTTTGAGAGGAATTGGACCAGTTCTGCTGCTTAAGAAGGTCTGCCTGGATATTTATAGGCTGCTCCTCCAAAGTGGCCTAAATTCACCCTGATCTGATAGTTTTTCCTGCTTAGAAAGTGTCCCTTGGCCAGATCAGTATCCCATAAGGGAGTGCTCCCTAGGTTGTACCTGTGATTGTTACCAGATAACCAGATTGTTTTTCTGCAAGTGAGCATATTTTTAGTCATGTTGATTAGCCATTCTTCTACATCACATTATTACCCTTTCTGATGATGATTCTAGGGTTAACATTGGAACCATCTCAAAAAAATTACAAATTTTTAGATGGGTTTACAACATCTTCTAAGTAATGTAATCTAAAAATAATTGAGTCAGATGCTAATGAGATACTGTGGGTTTAATTGCTGTTTTTCTGAACTGATTGTGAAACCTTAAAACCTTCTTATAGTGAGGAGTATGCAAAATCTGGAAAGATATTCTATTTTTTAATACATAGGTAGATAGGATTGACATTTATTTCCTATTTAGATATACTGACATTCATTCATATGAAAAAAGCAGGTCATTAGCTTACTATATTTTGACTATTTACTTTTGACTTAATGGAGCATAAAGAAAACTTTTGTAGTACACATGAGGTGGATATTTGATACACAGAACATTTAAGATTTGTGGTGGGCTTTCTGTGGGTTAGATGTAAAGCCCACATATTTTAATATTCACTATTTTAAATGAGCAATGCATGAGGGGAATGCAGTGTCAGTACCTGGCCTATTTTTAAACTAGTGTAATCACGCTAGTCATACCATTCAGTATGTTTGCTTTTTAAAATAAGTAACCACAACTAAGTTGTTTTAGCCCTTGTACTTCAAGAGATCTAGTCTTTACTTTCAGTTGTCTGTTAGGTCCATTCCATTTACTAGACGGATGTTAATAAAAACTATGTGAGCCTGAAAAGATTCTCAGCCAAATTTTCTCTTGTCTCTCATCTTGGTTGGATTAATTCCAAATCCTAAAATGATTCAGTCCACAATAGCTCTAGGGGATGAAGAATTTGCCCTATTTTGTTCACTCAGTTCTTAAGACTGTGAGTTGTCAAATGCCTAGACTGTAAGCTCTTCAAGGAGCAAGAAGCACATTTTCTCCATGTTAGGTAATGTTTCTGAGGTGCTTGGCAGCACTCTGTACCCTATGGAGTCCTCAGTACCTTTTGTTTGATGCTGACAAGACCTAAAAAACAGTCCCTTAAAAAAACCCATTAAAATGTAGTAAAAACGATGTATTATTTCGTCTCTTTTCTCATAAAGCATATGTATATCAAAGTGATAATTTATATGAAGCATCTGCTATCCTTCACATAACTATGAATTATCCTTCACATAATTATATGAACTACAAATACCTTTCATCAACATTAAAGAAGCTTAAATTTAACACTGTGTGATTAGCTTAACTTTAATTCAGCCCTGAATGTAACCAAAAAGTGAGGGATTGTCTAGAAGTTGACACAGAATATGCCACATCCCACAAATTATTTAAATTTACTTTCCAATGAAAAAAATCAGCCACTGATGATATAACTACAACTATAGTAGAAATGTTTTTAGGCTGAATATTGCTTCTTCATAAATAAATCAATTTTAGCAACTAAATCCAGACACAATTAGTTGGCGATGACTTCTGAAAGAGATGAAACTTTAGAGATGGAGAAGTTATTTGACTGAGGGATGATACTCCCTGTGCCATCTGCATATTGGCACCTGCTTGGGCTTTGCTGTAGAAATGCTGCAATCAGATGGATGTGAGAGGAAGCAATTATGGACTGGTTCACAACTTCTCAGATAAGCTACACTGGAATCTTTACAGTTTACCAATTCCTCAATGATATCAGATATAGAAAAATCACCAAAAAAGGCTTTAGAGGAGAAAAATACTCTGATTTTGAATTTTAAAAATGGATTTAATTTACCTTTTCTACTTACCTTCCTAGATGGCATAATCTACATTTAAATGACATTTAAAATTAGAAACTGGCCTGGCTTGATGGCTCATGCCTGTAATCCCAGCACTTTGGGAGGCCGAGGTGGGCAGATCACCTGAGGTTGGGAGTTTGAGATCAGCCTGACCAACATGGAGAAACCCCATCTCTACTAAAAATACAAAAAAATTTAGCCAGGCGTGGGGGTGTATGCCTGTATTCCCAGCAACTCAGGGGGCTGAGACAGGGGAAATCACTTCAACCTGGGATGCGGAGGTTGAGGTGAGCGAGATCGTGCCATTGCACTCCAGCCTGAGCAACAAGAACAAAACTTTGTCTAAAAAAAAGTAGTAATAATAATTAGAAACTATTAACTTCAGCATTGTTTTGTGTTCTAAAGAGATTCACAGGTAAACTCAAAAGCTGTATTTATGACTTAATCTTATTTTACATGGTTAAAAGTGGCCTATGCCCTCTATGGAGTTTTCCTCTTAATTTCTATTCTTGATATTAAGTGAGAAGAAATACAGACTGAATTCTTTTTTCCTGAAGAATTCATATATTCCTTATGAACTGTGAAAGAGTTGCCTTCTTTCAAAGGTCCTTATCTTTCTAAAGTATCATCAGTCGTTAAGTATAAAGATAAAATTTTGTTTCATGTCAAAGCTTTTGCTCCTTTATACAAGGTATTAATCGATTAAATATCAAAACAGTGACAAGTCATACACTAAGTTTCAAAAATATTAAATCATAGAGCTTTAAAGAATGGAAGAACATAGCCTAGCAATTAAGGAAAGTATCAGCCTTTTAAGGTTTTCATCTAAATCTTAAACTCCTTAAAAGAAGTGCCATTATTACCGTAATTAAAATGTCTGAGGAGTTCTTAGAAACATAGTTTTTAAAGAAACATTGTTTTAAAGACACTGTGTAGTAATGGATAAGACTTTTAAGTATGGTGCAATTCCAGATAGTTAATGATTTTTAAATGAAAGCACCAATGTTTAAATATTAATTTTGGAATCTGTCATCCCCGCTTCCCCCCCCAAAAAAAGAATTAATTTCAACCCATGGCTGCTGACCTGGGGCATGTTGTAAGCCTCACAGCCCTACATTATTCTTTCTCATGGCGTTATGCTTTTCCAATCTTTTTATTATATTCATTGAAAATCAGTGGTAAGGTATGGGAAAGATAACAGACCATACATTTTAAATTTAAGAGATTTCAGTACTTTTATGACACATCGTTTTCACTTTTCTGTTGTGCACCCTTTCTATAGGAATGGTAAAAGTAATAGAACATCAGGTCGAACAATTCTTGCTACTAATGTAAACTCACTCTCTGTAAACTGTTCTCAAATAGACAGTGAGTGTCATAAAGCAAGCATGTGAATGCTACACAAGTGAGAACTCACTAACTTCTTTGAAATAAAAAGACATCACTTGCAGAGTTCACAGATGACTGAAGGGAGCAGCCGGAAGTGTGCAGCCAGCCACCATCTTCAATTCTGGGAGACTGAGTTTACATGTTCTCCAAATGGCACAAGCCTCCTAACAGTCCAGTGAATCAACAGACACGTAGGAAATATTAATAAACAACTTTTTATGAACTATTACTACAAAGAACTTCAGCAAGAGGGGAGAGAAAGTTTAATGACCTTGTAGTAAACAGTTTTAGCTTAACAGTCTTTGGGACCAGTTTTTAAAAAAATGCTTATAAACACCGTTGCTCCATATTCAGCTGGTGTACACTAAAAGCGGGATGATGGAAATAACATGTTTTTAAAGGATTTCCACAGGAAATGTTCATTTTTTCATGACATTCTAAATCATTTAGCAATTACAATGCTACATAAGCTAAAACACAAGTATTTTTATTGCACATTTCAAAGTAGTAAGGATGCTATAACTTAAAAGGTGATTTTTATTTAGGGAAGAAATGACATTTCTGAATTGATTGGCTCAAAAATGCATACTGCCAAGGCAGCTTAGTTCTAACAACAGATCTTTTAAAATAAACTTGGATTTGGAAGCCAATGAAATCCTTTACTGTAATGAATAATGCACAGTCCATTTTTTTCTATAGTGAAACATCAGAGGTCATAGTTATGGGCTCTGCTTTAAAGCCGGTGAACAGTCCTGACTAGTGCTCTGAGAGGCAGGAGGAGGCTCATCTCTAGAGCCTGGCTGCAGTTAAGTCTCTTGCAGCAGGTGGTGGGTAATCCTGGGGAACATGGGTTGGGGGTGGTAATCGGATACCGGGAATAAAGTACTCTCTTGGGCCAAGAGGACCTAAAGGTCTAAATGGTGCGTGTCCTGGTAAAAATTCCCGAGGGTGGAGTGGCAGGTCCCGTTTTCCTGGTGCAAATTCTCTTAAGCCTAGTGGTGGATGCATACCAGGGCCTGGAAAACAAAAATTATGTAGAAGTAAATTCCTAAGAACATAGCTAAATTAAGATGATGCCAGGTATGCTAATATAATCTGTCATCCTATTTTGTTTGAAGGCACGGTCTGGAGAAAGTGATCATGGTTCACTGCAGCCTCAATCTGCTGGGCTCAATCTATCCTCCCCCCTCAGACTCCGAGTAGCTGGGACAACAGGTGCAAACCACCACACCCAGCTAATTTTTTTATTTTTTGAAAAGACAGGGTTTTACCATGTTGCCCAGGCTAGTCTCAAGGGATTCACCAGCCTCAGCCTCCCAAAGTAATTATAGGCATGAGCCACAGTGCCTGGCCTGTCATCTTTATCTTGAGATAGATTTGTACTTGGAAGTACTATTTACCATAAGAAGAAGACAGACTAAATATAGTTTCATTCCAACAAACATTTTAATAAATTACATTGCTTAATACTGTATATTAAAAATCTCTGTAGTAGCTAAACATGTGCCAAATATATGCCGTAAAAATCAAGGTGCTTGCCCTGCTGGAAAAGGTATTCCAGCTTCATCTAATTAAATCAGCAACATTGAATAGATAGCAGTTAAATTCCACCTTTTCTTTCATATCTAACTCCGTTGTATTCCCCAATATGAGGGTTGAGGGTTTGCTCTTTCATTCTGTAATATTATGTGACACACTGCTTATGCTTCTGTTATGAATGATTAGAACGCTTATGTTGTAGATATTGTATATCTGTGCCCTACAAGACATCTTAATTAGGAGATGTGTTTATCTACCTGGATATGCTTTGCAGAAACCAGTAAAGAGCCAGAGATGTTCAAAAAACATGTGCTGAATATTTCTGGCTTTCTATAAATAGCCCCTTTCCTTGTTGTATTAGAGACAGTTATTGCCCATCTAATCACAGGACACTACGTAGCACCCGTTGTGTCTTAAGAAACGTGGGGAGAAGTTACAATGTACTCAGTCACCTTCATCGCTGCATGGCAAAGCCCTGCAATTGCAGTTGTTTTAGCAAGGGATAGAGAGAGAAGATGACTACGCTTTACAAGTTAATCACTACTGTTCAGATCATCTTACCAAAGGGTGGAGGAATTGGCCGAGGCCCGAAAGGTCCACAGAGCTGAGGTGGTGGTCCATACGGAGTGGGTGGTGGTACAGGGCCTCCCATGGGAGTGCTCATAAGAGGGACTCCAGGGAAAGGAGGGGGCCCTTTTGGAGTCCTATTTACCTGCAGAGTAGAAGCAATTGAAGTTTTGAAATACTCTGGTATGACAGACAAAACTACCAACACCAGTAAAAACTAAAACCCAATGAAGCAGCTGTCAGGCACTTGTCCAAGGAGCAGAATTAGTGCAACAACTACCGCTCTCATTTGTCCCCACTGTCAGCTTAGAAAGGTTAAAAGTATGTCACAGGAGTGAACATTTTTGCTATAATCGTAGTATTGCTTATATCTGCACATGGAAGGGAAAGTGGAGGTTATAAAGGGAAGTCATTCCTGACTAACACTATTTTTTTTTAATTGCATTTTAGGTTTTGGGGTACATGTGAAGAACATGCAAGATTGTTGCACAGGTACACACATGGCAGTGTGCTTTGCTGCCTTCCATCCCTTCACCTGTATCTGTCATTTCTCCCCATGCTATCTCTTCCCACCTCCCCACCCCCCGTCCCTCCCCCATTTCCCCCCAATGGACCCCAGTGTGTAGTGCTCCCCTCCCTGTGTCCATGTGTTCTCATTGTTCAACACCCGCCTATGAGTGAGAATATACTGTGTTTGATTTTCTGCTCTTGTGTCAGTTTGCTGAGAATGATAGTTTCCAGGTTCATCCATGTCCCTAGAAAGGACGTGAACTCATCGTTTTTGATGGCTGCATAATATTCCATGGTGTTTATGTACCACATTTTCCCTATCCAGTCTATCATCATTGGGCATTTGGGTTGGTTCCAGGTCTTTGCTATTGTAAACAGTGCTGCAATGAACATTCCTGTGCATGTGTCCTTGTAGTAGAATGATTTATAATCCTTTGGATATATACCCAGTAATGGGATTGCTGGGTCAAATGGGATTTCTATTTTTAGGTCCTTGAAGAATCGCCAAACTGTCTTCCACAATGGTTGGATTAATTTACATTCCCACCAACAGTGTAGAAGGTTTCCTATTTCTCTACATCCTCTCCAGCATCTGTTGTGTCCAGATTTTTTAATGATCGCCATTCGAACTGGCGTGAGATAGTATCTCAATGTAGTTTTGATTTGCATTTCTCTAATGAGCAGTGGTGATGAGCATTTTATCATATTTTTGTTGGTCTCCTGTGTGTCTTCTTTTGTAAAGTGTCTGTTCATATCCTTCACCCACTTTTGAATGAGCTTGCTTTTTTTTTTTTTTTTTTTTTTTCTTGTAGATCTGTTTTAGTTCTTTGTAAATTCTGGATATCAGCCCCTTATCAGATGGGTAGACTGCAAAAATTTTTTCCCATTCTGTTGGTTGCTGATTCACTCTAATGATGGTTTCTTTTGCTGTGCAGAAGCTGGAGAGTTTGATTAGGTCCCATTTGTCTATTTTGGCTTTTGTCGCCTTTGTGTTTTGGTCATGAAGTCCTTGCCTATGCCTATGTCCTGAATGGTTTTGCCTAGATTTTCTTTTAGGGTTTTTATGGTGTTAGGTCTTATGTTTAAGTCTTTCATACGTCTGGAGTTAATTTTAGTGTAAGTTGTCAGGAAGGGGTCCAGTTTCTGCTTTCTGCACATGGCTAGCCAAAAATCGGATGGTTGTAGATATGTTGTATTTCCTCTGAGGTCTCTGTTCTGTTCCATTGGTCTACATCTCTGTTTTGGTACCAGTACCATGCTGTTTTGATTACTGTAGCCTTGTAGTATAGCTTGAAGTCCAGTAGTGTGGTGCCTCCTGCTTTGTTCTTTTTTGCTTAGAATTGACTTGGCTATGCGGGCTCTCTTTTGGTTCCATATGAAGTTGAAGGTGTTTTTTTCCAGTTCTGTGAAGAAGGTCATTGGTAACTTGATGGGAATAGCGTTGAATCTGTAAATTACTTTGGGCAGTATGGCCATTTTCACAATAATGTTTCTCCATCTGTTTGTGTCCTCTCTTATTTCGTTGAGCAGTGGCTTGTAGCTCTCCTTGAAGAGATCCTTTACATTCCTTGTTAGTTGTATTCCTAGGTATTTTATTCTCTTTGTAGCAGTTGTGAATGGCAGTTCCTTCTTGATTTGGCTCTCTTTAAGTCTGTTATTGGTGTATAGGAATGCTAACGAGAATGGACAACATAGAGAGGAATATAAGTGAATTGATGGAGCTTATAAACTTAGATGCAACTTTTTAAGGTGAATGAACACACAGCAGAACAGTTTGAAAGACGTTTCTTCTGTGTTTTAGGTGCTGTCTTACTGCTAATTATTATATGCCTGGATTTGGCTAAAAATATCTGTTTTTAGATTCTCCAAAGAA